ATTTTCCCTAAAACAAGGTATATATTTTCCCTAAAACAAGGTATGTATTTTCCCTAAAACAAGGTATATATTTTCCCTAAAACAAGGTATGTATTTTCCCTAAAACAAGGTATATATTTTCCCTAGAACAAGGTATATATTTTCCCTAAAACAAGGTATATATTTTCCCTAAAACAAGGTATATATTTTCCCTAAAACAAGGTATGTAGTTTCCCTAAAACATGGTATGTATTTTCCCTAAAGCAAGGTATGTATTTTCTGTGTGCAGGATTTCGGAGCTGGAGAACCGCGTGGCGTACGAGTGTGTGCAGCTGCACGGGGGCTGGGGCTACATGTGGGAGTACCCGGTGACCAAAACCTACGTGGACGCCCGCGTACAGCCCATCTACGGAGGCAGCAACGAGATCATGAAGGAGCTGATTGCCAGGCAGATTGTCTCTGAGTGATAGGTGGAGGTCGTTCCGTGGCCGATGATTGACGCTGGTCCGTGTCCGATGATTGGCGCTAATCTGTGTCCGATGATTGATGCTGATGATTGGCGCTGGTCCGTGTCCGATGATTGATGCTGATGATTGACGCTGATCCGTGTCGGATGATTAATGCCTTACCTTGTTTAATGATTTCTGTCTGCGAATGTTCTTCTCCTAAATGCTATGGTCTCTCAGAGTAGACACAAACTCTGAACCAAAACTCCCACTCTTTCATATTTCGTATCTTGATGCGGGTTAATGTAACAGATTTTTTAAAAAATTCTTTAGTCACGAAAGACGTACTTAGTAATGGTGCTGTTTAGCGTAACAGATATTTTTTTTATGGAAAGATCAAAGTTGGTGATCAAGTAAGTGGCCTTCCTGTGCTTGGGCCATCAGGATGGTCTGGGTGTGTGTCTGGGATGTTTTACATCAGACTGAGCTTTTTTTGGGTACCTTTTGGAACAAATAAATATAAGATTTGAAATGTTTTCAAATCTATCTGAAATAAAATCTTAGTGGGATGATTGAGTGAGATTGTGTACATAATGTGTGTCACAGCGCGGTGGATTCAGGCACTCGTCAATGTTTGGGCATGTGGCGTTATTGGCATAATCGGAAAGCTTATATTTGCCTTGCTTTCTATGAAAAAAAATACCCATCTATGTCGAATAGAAATAGAAGTTGAGATATTTGTGATTGAAGCAGGTGAGGGTTGCTTGCTGTCAGCAGAGGTAAAGTAAGCAGGAAAATGGCCGCCAAAGTTTGGTAACTTCTTTCTATAGCTTCAGAGTCCTTGAAAACTGAAAATTGATGTACTTCATGTCATTAATCTACATCTTTCAGTAACATTCACTTGCGAATGTGCTTTTGTATAGACATAAAAATGTGGAGCCAAAAAACAAAATTTTGGTACAAATGACCAAACTGTAGGAAAAATACCTTTTTTTTTTCTTCCATTTTTTTCTTTTGACAAGCGCCTGATTTTACCACGATGCCTCACATGTTTTCGTCTAGGTTTTGGAAAGTTTCGACTGAGCTCTGTCATGACTTGAACCCATTAAGACACTTATCATACCCAAGCATATATATATGAATAATATGATATATATTTTCTCAGGAGATTTTTACCCCTATTTTGTTTGTTTGTCAGGGAACTTTGATGAAGTACTTGAGTATGTTTGTGCAGACTTGTGCTTATGTGTGATGTGTGGTTTGGAAAAACACGAGAGAGAGAGAGAGAGAGAGAGAGAGAGAGACTGTTGTCTCTGTCATTCAAGATGACCAGTGACCTGTTTATGTTGAATTATTCACACCTCTGAATACCTGCTAAGAATACACCTGCTTACAAATGTTGAATTTTTATTTGTTTCGTTTTATTTGTTGATCCTTTTGAAAAAACACTCTTGGAAATTGAAGTTAACAACTTATATATTGTACAATTTTTGTAGAAAAACTATACTATTCGTCCTGATAAAAGTTTAATACTTACATAAATATGTCTATTTCGTATCTTTTGATTGTTGTTGCTTTTTCTTTTTTTAACTTTTACTGATTTTTCCTGATCCCCCATGCCCCTGGCGTATGTGTTGTGGCGTATGTGTTGTGGCGTGTGTTGTGGCGTATGTGTTGTGGCGTGTGTTGTGGCGTATGTGTTGTGGCGTA